ATCAGAACGTAGCAAAACTCAACGTTTCGTAATGCTCCGTCCTGCACGCGTCACAAATTGGGACGCACCGTAATTGAAACGTAACGAAACGGCTGTTCACCCTAGCTTGCAGTGAGAACCGCGACAAAACGGAATACAACGTGGAATATAACTTCAGATGCCGGAGAATATTTCCGATTCCCGTCCCACAACGGACCACTTCCAAGTTTTGTAATCGCTTATTACGTATTGTCACGTTTATCCAGTTTTACTACAGCCTATTTCATTAGTATTGTGGTTGCCTTGCCAGATTTTTTGACAATTTGAAATTCTTGCCCGACAATGACGGTCTGTCACGTTTGCCTATCCCGTCCCCCAGCGCTGTCTCACGTTCAACATGTTATCCAGGCTATAATGTCTATCGAGGACAATTAATTGCAGAAAACTTAAAATTGTTATCGTCTGATTTGAATGTTGGTTTCTACCATCGGTACAGTCTTTCTTCACCAATCTACTTTACTCTACAAAAGCCTTTGCATAATGGAGGCATATTGCTTACTTTTGAACAAATTAGACGACAATTTTTTTATGTATTTTAAATCCCCCAGACCCCTCTTCGTCTCATTTTAAAGGGACAGATTCACCACCCGTTTGGCTAATCGTACCATAATCTCAATACAAGTGATATTGTTCGTAGCTCACCGTCGAAATTTGAGCCTTCAAATCCATGTATGTCAGGATTTTTTCGCTTTTGAAAGTCAAAAAAACGACTCGCCTCGGAACTTTGCCATATATAGAAAATAAATTTATAGAAATAGGAAGTAATATTCCTAGTTTGAGGTATTTTGATGGAATTATGTGATTTGCGTACATTTCTAAAGATTATTTAATTATATTGAAGACCCAAAAAAAAAACCCAAAATGGCGATACTGTCCTTTTAATTTGGTTTGCGCGACGGCTTAGTCTACATCAACAAGTCTCAAATAAACATATCAAAAATTTATTTCATAAATATCTATCAATAATCTAAATGACAACACATTACAAATACCATCTCATCAATAATCTACAATTATAAACACATAACAAATACCATCTCATCTGTAATCTACAATTATAAACACATTACAAATACCATGTCATCTATAATCTACAATTATAAACATATTACAAATATCATCTCATCTATAATCTACAATTATAAGCACATTACATATACCATCTCATCTATAATCTACAATTATAAACATATTACAAATACCATCTCATCTATAATCTACAATTATAAACACATTATAAATCTACAATTATAAGCACATTACATATACCATCTCATCTATAATCTACAATTATAAACATATTACAAATACCATCTCATCTATAATCTACAATTATAAACACATTATAAATACCATCTCATCTATAATCTACAATTATAAACACATTACAAATACCATCTCATCTATAATCTACAATTATAAACACATTACAAATACCATCTCATCTATAATCTACAATTATAAACATATTACAAATACCATCTCATCTATAATCTACAATTATAAACATATTACAAATACCATCTCATCTATAATCTACAATTATAAACACATTACAAATACCATCTCATCTATAATCTACAATTATAAACACATTACAAATACCATCTCATCTATAAGCTACAATTATAAACACATTACAAATACCATCTCATCTATAATCTACAATTATAAACACATTACAAATACCATCTCATCTATAATCTACAATTACAAACATATTACAAATACCATCTTATCTATAATCTACAATTATAAGCACATTACATATACCATCTCATCTATAATCAACAATTATAAACACATTACAAATACCATCTCATCTATAATCTACAATTATAAACACATTACAAATACCATCTCATCTATAATCTACAATTACAAACATATTACAAATACCATCTTATCTATAATCTAAAATTATAAACACATTACAAATACCATCTCATCTATAATCTACAATTATAAACACATTACAAATACCATCTCATCTATAATCTACAATCATAAACACATTACATATACCATCTCATCTATAATCTACAATTATAAACACATCACAAATACCAACTCATCTATAATCTACAATTATAAGCACATTACAAATACCATCTCATCAATAATCTACAATTATAAACACATTACAAAAACCATCTCATCTATAATCTACAAATAAAAACACATTACAAATACCATCTCATCAATAATCTACAATTATAAACACATTACAAATACCATCTCATCAATAATCTACAATTATAAACACATTACAAAAACCATCTCATCAATAATCTACAATTATAAACACATTACAAAAACCATCTCATCAATAATCTACAATTATAAACATATTACAAATATCATCTCATCAATAATCTACAATTATAAACACATTACAAATACCATCTCATCTATAATCTACAATTATAAACACATTACAAAAACCATCTCATCAATAATCTACAATTATAAACACATTACAAATACCATCTCATCACTAATGTACAATTATAAACACATTACAAATATCATCTCATCAATAATGTACAATTATAAACATATTACAAATACCATCTCATCAATAATCTACAATTATAAACACATTACAAAAACCATCTCATCAATAATCTACAATTATAAACACATTACAAATATCATCTCATCAATAATCTACAATTATAAACATATTACAAATACCATCTCATCAATAATCTACAATTATAAACACATTACAAAAACCATCTCATCTACAATCTACAAATATAAACACATTACAAATACCATCTCATCAATAATCTACAATTATAAACACATTACAAATACCATCTCATCAATAATCTACAATTATAAACACATTACAAAAACCATCTCATCAATAATCTACAATTATAAACACATTACAAATACCATCTCATCAATAATCTACAATTATAAACACATTACAAAAACCATCTCATCAATAATCTACAATTATAAACATATTACAAATACCATCTCATCAATAATCTACAATTATAAACACATTACAAATACCATCTTATCTATAAT